TGCCTGCAAAAATAGAAAAAAACAGCCCCTTTCAGCTTCAGCATAGGTTAATTACCATAAATTGATTTGATCAGCCTCTGGATTCTTAGCTGATTTGCTCTCAGCTGTTTTGCGGAGGGCTCTTGCTAGCTGCAAAGAGAGGAGCAGATTTTTTTCTCTCCTAGCTATGCTGAAAAAACGAAACTGAAAGTAAAGCAGGGTCTTTGCTGCAACGTGGCAAAATGAGGCAGAGAGAGATTTCTTTTTCTTTTTCCTCACCAAAAAAGGTAGGTGCAAAACTGCAAACAATGGGAAATTTAGGGCAAAAGAGGAGGTTCAAGATTTTAAAACACAAAAGAAAAAAAGCTCTATTTAACTAGGGAATTGTAATAATTGAGATACTATTAATTGTATATTGGTTGAAAGCAGAAATGGTTAAGTTGTGCTTTGGAGGAATATATGGGGGAAATTATTTGGTTTATTATTATTGGTAAATATAATTAATTGATTTGTAAGAAATTGGATTGCATGGAAATAATTGGAATATTCATGTTCATATTGATATACAAAAAAAATAGTTATATAACTAATTGATTTATATTAAAATGTTGAATTTGTATTAAACAACTGTATTACATAATTACATAACTAATCAATGTGAGGATGGATATAAAAATAGGTAACAATGAGAAGGGGTGTAATATAGAATAGAAGGAAAAAATTGAATTTGATTAAGATTAGAGATGAGGATGAAGGGTAATATTAGTTTTTTAAAAAAATAGATGAGGAATAAATATGGCAAAAAGAAAATATAGAAATTGTAAATTTAATTGAAATGACTAAACACTGTTTAAATTTGTGAACCAGCCAAATACTCTGTTCAAAGAAAATACATTGTATGTTTGTATGTGTGTTTCTAATTATTGCTATTTATTCATATTTGTTCTCTTTTATTCTTTAAAGTTTAACAATTCATTCTTTATCTTAATATCTTTATATTTGTTTGGGGTTGGTTTTCTTCCCTTTCATCTTTTTTATTGTACAGCAATCTTTCTCCTCAAACCTACCACCTCTCTCTTTTCTTTCCTTCTTACTTTCTCTTCCCCCCTCTTCTTCTCCTTCCTACTTCCTCTTCCTTTCTCCTTCTCCTCTCTTCCTCCCTCTCTTACCCTCACTCCTACTCTAATTTCCCTTCCCTTCCTTCATCCCTCTCTATTGCTGTATCCTTTTATGCATATGGATTATTCAGAGGGCTGAAAAAGTTATTTTTGACTGGTCCTCACACTTTTGACCAGTCCTCGAACTTAGACTGTCGTCACATTTTATGTTTTTGCCTTACCTTGTCACCATGGTGAACAGAAGCAGTTGTGAAATGAGTGACTTGGTTGTTAAGAATGCTGCATGGGCATAAATGTAAAGATGGTCATAAGTGCGAAGACCGGTCAAAAGTGCGAGGACCTGTCAGAAATCACTTTTTTCAGCCCTCTGGATAGTCCTTTTGTGCACATGGACTACTCAGAGGGCTGAAAAAGTTATTTTTGACTGGTCCTCGCACTTTTGACCAGTCCTCGAATTTACGACTGTCCTCACATTTTATGTTTTTTGCCCTATCTTATCACCATGGTGAAGAGAAGCAGTTGTGAAATTTATTTTTATTTTTGAATTTTATTTTATTTTTGAATTTGTATACCGCCCTTCTCCCTGAGGACTCAGGGCGGTGAACAAAACAAAACAATTAAAAAAAAACCCTTAAAAAGAATTAAGCCAGCCCGGCTTGTTGAAAAAAGAAAGTTTTAAGGGCACGGCGGAAAGCACTGAGGTCATGGATTCTCCTTATCTCAGGGGGCAACTGATTCCAGAGGGTGGGTGCCCCCACAGAGAAGGCCCTCCCCCTGGGGGTCACCAGCCTGCATTGTTTGGCTGATGGCACCCCGAGGAGGCCCTCTCTGTGGGAGCGCACGGGTCGGTGGGAGGTCGTCGGTGGCAGTAGGCGGTCTCGAAGATAGCTAGGCCCTATGCCATGGAGCGCTTTAAAGGTGATGACCAACACCTTGAAGCGCACCCGGAAGACCACCGGGAGCCAGTGCAGTTCACGCAGGAGCGGTGTTACATGGGAGCGCCACGCTGCAAGGGCATAAATGTAAAGATGGTCATAAGTGTGAGGACCAGTCAAAAGTGCAAGGATCTGTCAAAAATGACTTTTTTCAGCCCTCTAAGTAGTCCCCATACACATAGCCATGGCCACCCGGTCACATGACCAGCTAGCCACGCCCACCCAGTCACATGACCTCCAAGCCATGCCCACAAAATAAGTCACGCCCACAGAACTGATAGTAAAAAATTTTAGAACCCACCCCTGGTTGGGGTCACCACAACATGAGGAACTGTATTAATGGGTCGCGGCATTAGGAAGGTTGAGAACCACTGCACTAAAGAGAGAAGATAGAAAGGAAGTAACAGGCAGTAGAGAGAAAGCAGAGCTGCTTAACTCATTCTTTTCATCAGTCCTCACACAAAAGGAAACTATTGCCCAACCTACAAAACAACTGTAAAAAACTAGAAATAAAAGTTAAAATAAGCAAGAAAATGGTAAGAGAATACCTGTCCGACCTTGAGGAATATAAATCACCAGGACCTGATGGAACTCCGGGGAGGGCGGGGGAGAGGGGAGAACAGACCCAGGAAACTACAGACCAATCAGCCTAACATCAGTACCTGGGAAGATACTGGAAAAAATAATAAAAAAACAGATCTATGAACATCTAGAAACAAATAAGGTTATAACTAGTAGCCAGCACGTGTTTGTTAAAAATAGATCATGCCAAACCAATCTTATTTCATTCTTTGATAAAGTCACTAAATTAGTAGACAAGTGAAATGCTGTGGACATAGTATACGTAGATTTCAGTAAGACATTTGACAAAGTAGACCACAACCTACTTCTTGGTAAGCTAGAAAAATGTGGAATAGACAATATCACCACCAGATGGATTTGTAGCTGGCTGACAAACTTTACTCAATGAGTAGTCCTTAACGTTACTACATCCACATGGAAAAAATTAAGCAGTGCGGTACCACAAGGTTCCGTCTTTGGCCCAGTACTCTTCAATATCTTTATAAATGATTTAGATGAGGGAATAGAAGGGGAACTCATCAAATTTGCAGATGATAGTAAACTGGCAGGAATAGCCAACACCCCAGAAGACAAGCTCAGGATCCAAAAAGATCTTGACAGACTTGAACAATGGGCCCTATTCAGCAAAATGAAATTTAATGTGGTGAAAAGCAAAGTTTTACACCTGGGCCGAAAAAACTGTAACAGGGACCTAAACATAAGTTAGCAGTGTACAGCAGCAGCCAAAAAAGCTAATACAATCCTTAATTGTATATAAACAGAGGCATAGAATCAAAATCATGTGAAGTATTAGTACAACTTTACAAAGCCTTGGTTAGACCACATCTGGAATACTGCATCCAATTTTGGTCACCACATTACAAAAAAGATTTTGAGATTTTGGAGAAAGTGCAAAGAAGAGCAACTAAGATGATTAAATCCTGGAGGCTAAAACATATGAAGAACGGTTGGAGGATTTGGGTTTGACTAGTGTAAAGAAAGAAGGACTAGGGGGGACATGATAGTATTCCAGTATTTAAGAGGCTGCCACAAAGAAGAGTGGGTCAATTTATTTTCCAAAGCACCAGAGGGCAGAACAAAAAACAATGGATGGAAACTAACCAAGGAGACAAGCAACCTGGAATTGAGGAGAAACTTCCTAACAGTGAGGACAATTAACCAGTGGAGCAGCTTGCCTTCAGACATTGGTGCTTCATCACTGGAGGTTTTTAAGAAGAGAATGTATCTGTATAGGTTCTTCTGCTTGAGCAGGGGGCTGGACTAGAAGACCTCCAAGATCCCCTCCAGCTCTATTCTGATTCTGATTCTTTCATCAAGATTCACTATTGACATTTTAAAAAACAATAGTCTGCCCCATATTCATGACTCTTCATCCTTGAATCTTTTACAGATTTTCTTTCTTTTCATTTAAAACAATCAAATTAATTATTGTTTTAGATTTGCATGAATTCTTTTTTTCAGAAGTATTTATGAGTGACTTTTGCATATATCAGTTATTTGAAATAAATAGGCTTTTACCTAAACAGATACTCAACGAATTGTCACCAATCTTACTCATTCTTTGAGTGGCTCAATAACTTTGTATTCTCTTATTTTGTTTTTCCCTTCCAATCATGTTATGTAAAAGAACGTTTTCCCCAAAAGAATGTTGCTGAATAATTCCAAAAACTCATACTGTATCTGATTCTTCCATTATCATTAGTCAATGGAGGTTAAATGGAGCTATCACTAACTAAAATAGATTTTTATTTTTATTTAGTATGTTGCTCATCAGTCATGCCAATATTTAACATTATTCATGAATCTACTCAACAATAGTTGGTAATATTTGTAGAAATATCTGTTTGATAAATGTCAATGGATTAAATTAGCTATATAATTAGGAATGTAACTAAAAAAAATTTAAAATACCATTTACTGGTAAGAAAATCTGCAAATCTGATTATTAGCCATCAAATTATGTACAGCATTGAATCTGGGATTCTAATTTATATTATTGTTGTAATTCAAAACTGATATGCTTATTATCAATATATGTATAATGTTAATTGCCATGGCCATTATTAGCTATAATTAATCTTAGTTTTCTTTTGAAGTTATGTTCCCAATTTAGAATAGAGGGACTAGTTTGGCTTATTGGGAAAATGGAATAAAAATTCCAGGAAGAAAAATAGCTGCAATATTCACCTGTAAAGTAAAATTATAGTATATTTTTCTTATTAATATTGACAAATTTTCTTACATTATGGACAATTTTTTGAGTCTTTTTTTTAAAAAAATTCCATAACTGTAATTCAAAACCCAGATAAATATATTTTCCAAAGATTGATGAAGGAAAAAAAGAACATTAGAATATGTAACAAATTACCTGAATTCTTATTTTCAGAGTACTCGTGTGATGTGGACTCCTCCTCTTCGTGAAAGCTTTTCTTATCCCTTCCTTGTGGTTCAGATGTTATTATTAACGTACATTCTCAGGTAATTTCCATTCTTTTCCATTCTTAAATATAGAAACAAAATCTTCAAACATAATACTGGTTTATGCATTCATAAGTTATAAAATGGTATTATTGCTGTGTAAATAATTTGCTTTAATTTATGGTACATACATGTAATGGTATAGATACAAAAGCAGGAAGATGCTCTGAATTCATATTTAGCTATTACAGCCATTACTATGTGTTGTCTTTTCTAGTCTCTTCAGTCTAGTATCCTTCCATCCAATGGTGGGATTCAAGTAATTTAACAACCGGTTCGCTGCCCTAATGACTTCTTCCAACAATCAGTTTGCAAACTACTCGGAAAGTTAACAACCGGTTCTCCCGAAGGGATGCGAACCGGCTGAATCCCACCACTGCTTCCATCATCCTCAAACAAAGATGATAGGATGAGAGAGATAGTTCAAAATGTTGGAGCACTACCAGATTGGGAAAGACTAGAAACCTCATTTATAATTAGTCCATAGAGAACCTATTCCTTTAACTGGGAGAAAATGTAAGTGTGACATGTGACTAAATACCAAGTTTTCTGTATGTTTTCTTAAAAACTATTATCATTTCTCTTTCATGAGGAATGATTAGGATGATCCTGTGTACATCTAAATGTAGTAAGAATTTGTGTCAAAAATTATTTTTACTTCTGATAAAAAGGAAAAGTAATAAAAGATATCCTATCAGAGGAAGTGGGGAAATGAAGATCAGAGTAACATTAAAAGAAACATGTTTTGAAAAGTGGGATTTTATGAGATTTTAAAACAAATCAGTGTTGACCCAAACTTTTTGTAATGATTATGGTTTGTTGCAAAGTCAGCCAGCTGTTTAGACTGGATTTGGGATTTTTATCCAATTATTATGTAATTATTAATTATATTACACATAAATAAAGGCTGTGTGTGGAAGGTTCTTTTTTCTGTTTAATTTTATCATATTAGATATTTACAGTATTTTATGAATTTTTATATACATTGTTTTAAAGCTTAACTAGAGTTCAAGTCTGTTGAAAAAAAAATAACTATTGTTATTTAGATACATTAACAGAGCCATTATTGTTAATCAATCTCTTATTTTTTTTCCCAAGGATGCAGAACGTTAATAGAAGAAGCTTGATTGCACTATCTGTTTCTAATGTTCTATTCATGCTTCCCTGGCAGTTTGCTCAGTTTGTTCTTTTAACACAGGTAACATAATATCAATAAATATTATTAGAATTTTGCATACCCCTTTATCAGTAGTGCAATGGTTCAGCAGTTAAAGCCACTGAGCTTTCAGCTGGAAAATTGACAGCACAGGTTCAAGACCTGGTGCGCATAACAGGGTGAGCTCCTGTTACTTACCCCAGCTCTTGCCCATCTAGCAGATCAAAAGCATGCAAATGTGAGTAGATAAATAAATATCACTTTGGTGGTAAGGTAACAGAATTTGATGCACCTTGGCATATAGTCATGTTGGCCACATGACCATGGAAATGTCTTCGGACAATGCTGGCTCCCTTGACTAAGAAACAGCGATGAGAACTGCCTTTACCTTTATTTTATCTTTATGTATATTTGTTGTCTCAAATAACTGTTGAAAGAAGAATAGAATGCACATTATACATTTAACACCTAAGAACAATAATAATTTCTGATTTGACCACGAATGTGCCAGAGCCAGGTCAAAATTATCAAAAGATTACAAGGTACTTGAATATTGTTGTTCATCTAGAATTGCTATTGAAAGAAAAAAGTTATATAGGCTCCTTCTGAAAAGAAAAAAATGATAAATTGGGAAAATTTGCCCAGATTACCACAGATAAACATACCGCAGTAATGTTTGTTTCATCTGCCTTTCCTAAGAATTCCCTCTGGATCAAAAGGTTTTTTAGGATACATCTCCCTCATAGCATGGCTTGAGCATTTTCAAGCCCATTTTGGTAGCATCAGTTGCATTCCCATCTCCCAAAGTGGGATTTTGTGACTTTATCTGAAAAACTAAACTTATATTTCTACTAAAAATAGGGAAAGCTGCTGTGAAAGGTTGAACTTTTGCAGACCAACACAGATATATCAATTGCATAATTCAAATACTACCTGTTTTGTTTAAAACCATTAGCATCCCCAGTCTTTAAAAAAAGTGACTCCCCCCCAAAATTATTACTTTTTCCCCACTTATTTTGGTGAGCATTGTAAACAAAGTGTCTGTGAAATTAAGTCTAAAAGTGACTGGCTGCTTGATGCAATACAGTATCTTAGTAGTGGAGCAAGCTGGAATTCTCTAGCATTTAAATAAATGGTATACTTCAATCTATGGAAATATATTATTAAAAAATGTCTACTATCTTAGCCAATGCTCTAATCATAAAGTAGTATAAGAACAACTTTCAATAATTTGATATAGTTTCTAGAATCTGTTGTTCTCAATGTTCCAGTATTAGAGCTATAAACGCATAGAGTGAATCAGAGCTTATATATTGGCCCCTTCTTTTTCAGTTTGTAAATTGAGTATAAATCCTGTCAAGGCTGAAATTCCACCCACTCTTGTCAGCTAATAGAACCATTATCATCCTATTGGATGCAGTTGATATATCTCTTGGTTAAATATCTTTGGTAGTTAGATCTTGCTCTCATAATATAGATAAAATGGCCTTGACATCAGATATGAAAAGAATACATTCATTCTGTAGAAATGGTCTTCCATTTCACTACTTTTGGAAAATTTATACAGAGTATGGAGCAGAAAGCCAAACATCTTAGAATTTTCTGTTTTGCATGATGAAATGTCAATAATCATGTCCTGGTGACAGTTAAGATATGAAGAATGAAACTATGAGTTGTCTAAGTCTGTATAGTTCTGTAAATATTGCTCTGAAGCAGCCCTTTCAGATCCTGAAATTTCCCAACTTATGACCATTGCTAGGAATTCTGGGAATAAGAGTTCACTTGTTGAAAAACAGGTGGAAATTTGGGGAAACAGGTGGAAATTCACAGTATTTCAAAAATTAGATATTGTACTGTAAATTATGAAATTAACCATTTAATTGTAGTACTTCTGTTGTTTGTAGTTTATATGATAAAACTGTTTAAAATTCATTTTCTCTTTCCATTTTTTCAATTTATTTTCACAAAATGAATAATTTGGAGCTTTGATACCTTTCTTTAAAATATTTTAGATAAAATGCACTGTATTTTTTCAATTGCAGGTAGCATCTGTTTTTGGTATATACATTTTGGGATTTATAGATTCAGCCAAACTACAGAAGATACTTTATGCACATATGGTAATATTTCCTTTATATTTTTAACAATATTCTTTGGTAAAACTGGTTTCTGAATGTTTGTACTTATAATTATTCCCCAAAGAATGTTGTTGTTGTTTTTATTAATAACAAAATGTTATCTCACTTTTTAAGCAGTGGTGGGTTTCAAAATTTTTTACTACCGGTTCTGTAGGTGTGGCTTGATGGGCGTAGCATGGCTTGGTGGGCGTGGCAGGGGAAGAATACTGTAAAATCTCCATTCCCACCCCACTCCAGGGGAAGGTTACTATAAAATCTCCATTCCCTCCCCAGTCCAGGGGAAAGTTACTGTAAAATCTCCATTTCCTCCCGATCAGCTGGGACTTGGGAGGCAGAGAATAGATGGGGGTGGGACCAATCAGAATTTTTACTACCGGTTCTCCAGAACTGGTCAGAACCTGCTGAAACCCACCTCTGTTTTTAAGATAACATTAAGTGTAAGAGAGGTGTTCTTGACAGAAATATACAGAGAGCTAAAGCATTCTTTAATTCCTGTAAATCAGAATAGCATTCAGAAGAGACTTAGGCAGGCTCCTCCCTTACCCATTGGAATAAAACAGGAAGGGAAGATAAAGGTCACTCAGGCTTGCAAGATTTTATTAATATAGGTAGTCCATTAACCTATGACCACAACGGAATCTACAATTACAGTCATATGTTGTGACAGTTGTTAAGTGGGTCACCATGTGACCCTGCCCAGTTTTACATCTTTTGCAGCAATAATAAGTAAACACATTAGTCATTAAGTGAATCCATTGTCCTAGTTGCAGTCATAAGGCAGATCTCACCTGATTGCAATATTCTGTGGTCATGTGATCACTGCTTGTAACTTCTTGATTCCCCCTTGACTTTATTTGTAAGAAGGAGCAGTGATCACAAATAGTGATCAGATGATTACAGGATACTGCAGGGTAGTTGCATGCTGATTGCAAGCACCCAAATTGCAGTTTAAGTGTTTACAATCATTTCAAGAGTTGTTTAGTTGCTGTTTTTTTAAAATAAACAAACATGGTTGTTAATTTGTTTATAAATTGAAACCTGAAATGTCATCATGATATAAAGTTAGGAAAAAATCTCAATTATTTTACAAGATTACTTTATATTTCTGAATATTTTGTCAAATTATTTTAAATATTTTAAATAGTGTAGAAATTAGCATTTTATACACTTTGTTTTTAAATATCTTGTAGTGTAGATACTCTACATAATTGTCATGCCTCTGTAATCTTAATTAACATCTTTATTTATGTCTCATCAGGTATCACTTGCTGTATGCTTTGTCTTTATGTTTGGAAACTCTATGTTGATGACATCCTATTATGCTGCCTTTTTGATAGTCAGCTGGGTAAGTCTTAAATGAATAGCCAATAATGATTTACTTAGTAGTCAAGTTATTTAAGTTGAATATTTCATGCAGCTTACGCAGAGCCCAAAATTTCTATTTTAAAACGACACATTTTAAAGTGAATTTTGCCCCTTTTTATGACTTTTCTTGCCATACTTGTTTAAGTGAATCACTGCAATTATTAAGTTGAATCTGGCTTACCTATTGACTTTGCTTATCAGAAGGCTGTAAAAGGTGAACACATGACATGAGATCACTGCAACTGTCATGAATCTGAGTCAGAATCCAATCTGAGTCGGTTACTGGGACTAGAGATTTGTTCTTCCAAATTGAATGCATGCCCTCGTTCATTGCAATGTGAGGTTACCCATGAGTTCAGGTCTCCTTGTCTAACTTGTGTTCTTGTCATCTTGTTAGCTTCCTCCCCTTTTGTCCTACATAGTGACAGGGCAATCCATGCAGGGAATCTGGTAAATTATATTAGAAGATTCTCTCACCTTCAAATAGTCTTTGTTCTGCATGCTTTATCTTCTTATGGTAGCCTACTGCTACCGTGTTCCCCCAAAAATAAGCCCTACCATGTTTTTGCGGGTGCACCCAATATAAGCCTTATCGCCAAAATAAGCCCTACTTAAGCACCTGCACAGCCTCCTGCCTGCCCATTCCATCTGGTTGCTTGTGGTGCTGTGGCTGTAAGGCAAGGCAGGAAGATGGAGCTGCCCTATGCGCCCCGCAGCGGTTTACCTCAGGGCCCCCACACCAAGGCCATCCATGCCCTGACACCTATCTTGCCTCGCAGTGGCAGCTCCACCAGTCCTGTCCAGTAGTACCTTGCATGGCCGCTGGCGGATCCAGATCCACACTCAGATCCACACACAGATCCACACGGCTGCCAGGCACCGGGACATCACATCAAGGGCATCGTTGGGGGAGTCCGGGGTGGAAATGTACAGCTGAGTATCATCAGCGTACAGATGACATTTCACCCCGAAACCACGGATGATCTCACCCAGCGGCTTCACATAAATGTTGAACAGAAGGGGCGAGAGAACCAACCCTTGCGGCACCCCACACACAAGGCGCCTCGGGATCGATCTCTGTCCCCCTGTCAACACGAACCGCAACCGGTCGGAGAGGAAGGAAGAGAACCACTCTAACACGGTGCCCCCTATCCCCAACCCCTCCAGTTGGCGCAGCATGATACCATGGTCGATGGTATCAAAAGCCACCGAGAGATCTAATAGGACCAGGACAGAGGAACAACCCCTGTCCCTAGCCCCCCAGAGATCATCCACCAATGCGACCAATGCCGTTTCCGTGCTGTGCCCAGGCCTGAAACCCGACTGGAACGGATCTAGATAAACCGTTTCCTCCAGGAACCAGGGAAACTGTTGCGCCACCATACTCTCAACAACCTTTGCCACAAAGCGAAGGTTGGAGACAGGACAATAATTTGCTAATACAGCCGGGTCCAGGGAAGGCTTCTTAAGGAAGTTACCCTCACTCAAAGAAGCATTGATAATCCGCTGGAGACAGTCTCATGTAACCTCCCGGGAGGCCAGTACCAACCAGGAGGGACATAGGTCCAGTAAACACTGGCCGCACTAAGTCTGCTCAGAATCCTGTCCACGTCCTCGGGAGCCACAGGGTCAAATTCCTCCCAAATGACATTCCCAAGGCCCGCCTCCGTCACCCCGCCTGAAACTACCCAGTCAGAGTCCAATCCTTCCCGAATCTGAGCGATTTTGTCATACAGATATTGCACAAAGTCCTCAGCTCTTCCCTGTAAGGGGTCTTCCCTCGCTCCCTGATGGAGTAGGGAATGGGTCACCTAAACAGGGTGGCTGGGCGATTATCTGATGACGCGATAAGAGCAGAGAAATACTCAGATTTCGACGCTTTTATCACCACTAGGTAGGTCTTAATATGAGACCTCACCAGTGTCCGGTCGGATTTGGATCGGCTGGCCCTCCAACCGCTCTCTAGGAATCTTTTCCGGCGCTTCATTTCCCTGAGCTCCTTGGAGAACCAGGGAGCCACATGGGATTGGCACCGGGTCAAGGCCGCAAAGGCACAACGCGATCCAAGGCTCCAGCGGCGCCCTATCCCAGGCGGCTACCAGGTCCTCGGTCAAATCGTGAGCCAGAACCTCAGGAAATGGCCAAAGCTCCCTCTGGAATCCATCAGGATCCATCAGGCGCCTGTGGTGGAACCACCTAACTGGTTCCGCCTCCCTGCGGTAGGGGGCAGCGGTACAGAAGTCCAGTCGGAGGAGCGAATGATCAGACCATGACAAGGGTTCAATGACTACATCCCCTATATCTAGATCATTCAGCCACTGACCTGAGACGAAAATCAAGTCCAGAGTGTGTCCCCCCGTGTGCGTCAGGCCATGAACTACCTGGGTCAGGTCCATAGCCGTCATGGAAGCCATGAACTCCCGAGCCGCTTCCGATGTCTCGCCGACAGACGGCAGGTTAAAATCCCCCATGACCATAAGTCTGGGGGTATCCACCGCCACCCCGGCTATCACATGAGCAGCTCAGGCAGGGCTGCTGCTACGTGGCAGGGAGCCAGGTACGCAGTCAGCAGGCCCATCTGAACCCCACGACCCCACTTCACAAGGAGGGACTCACATCCAGCTATCTGAGGAACAGTGGCCTCCGTCGGACTCAGATCTTCTTTAATAATAACCGCCACTCCACCGCCCCTACCTTGAGCCCTCGGCCGATGGAATGCACAGAAACCTGGTGGACACAGTTCAACGAGGGGGACCCCCCTCCTGTCCCAATCAGGTCTCTGTAACACCCGCCAGGTCCGCACTCCCCTCCTTAATCAGATCAGAAATGAGGGGGGCTTTATTTACCATGGACCTGGTGTTGCACAACATCAGCCGAAAATTCGGGCCTTGAGGATCTGGACTACCCAGGAAACAAGAGGAGCCTTGGGGGCTGGAGCGCGCAATCACTTGGAGATAGCGAGTGCACACTCCCCGAACATGATGTGGCCACCTGCTCCGGCCATATCTGCCCCTCTCAACCACAGTACCGATGGAGCAACCCACCACAGTATGGACACTGGCCCCCTCATTTATACATTTAAATATAGATTTTATTGCATAGAGACTTAAGATTACTGTTAAGATTACCTTGATTAATTTAATTTTGAATATATGTCTTTTTAGGATAGATAAAATAGAAGAAATAGAAGAGATAAGAAAATATAAGATAGAATTAATAGATGAAAGCCTCTTTTGGTTAAAATACTGGAAGACTTTTTAGTGGGATATTATAGACCAATATAAACAAAGACAAGGAAAACAAGAATAAGACACTTCTGGTTTGGCATCGCGGTGAGACAGTCAGGGAAATAGTGGGCTCTGACGAGTCCCGCGAAAACCCTGGCTGCTGGACCGCCACCGATGGGTCTTCGGACCGGAACTGTCCTGCAGGGATGGGAAAGAAAGAGGGGTGCCTCGGACGACCGAGAGGAACAGGCAAGTTCCTCAGAGGTCAGAGGGAACCCTCTGTGAGTTTATGGCGGGGGGGGCAGGTATGGTGGCTGCCACGAAACTGGGACAACTGGGCTAAAAAATGTGCTGGAGGAAAGCTGAGTAAAACAGAGCTCTTTGAAGCTGGGTGAGTGACAACAACCTAGGCTTGCAACAATGTTTGGAGCAATATTAATATTTAGAAGACCCCTAGCCTAAAACAGAGGCTATGCAACCAAGGGGCTTTGGAAAAATTTTTAAACTGCAACTTTAAAGAGACAAAGACCCGAGAAACAACTAATTTTGGAACAGAACTAAGGTAATTAATCATGGAGATATGGTAAAAAGATTAAACACTTAAAAATTGAATTGGATTTTAAAAAGAAAAAAAAGATTTTGATATTTTTTAACTTAAAAGAAGAAGAAATAAATTGGATGGTTATATAATAGCAAAATGGAGCCTTGCATGGCTAATGGAAAATGTGGATTATAGAGAGACACCATCTGACCTAAAGAGGAACTTTGTAACTTCTCTTTGTTATGGGAAACTCTGAATTTTACAGATAAAAGTTACTGGATTTTGTGGAGGAGGATTTCCCCCCCCCCCCCCCCCCCCCCCGCCGCTTGATTTTGGTGGAAAAAAAAGGAATTTACAACGGAACTCCTATAGTTGAAATAATAATAATTCAAATACTGGCGCAAGAACAGAAGAAGGATTAAGTGCAGGCTCAAAAGAAAGAGAATTGATACATTATATCCGGAATAAAAATAAGAAAGAGAATTAATCTGATTTATGGAGAACAAAATTAAAAATTTGGAAAATGGAAGAAAATATGCGTTTGCAGGCGAGGAAATGAAGATAATGTGATCAAAAATAAAATAAAGGTGGATTGTAATAATAAAAGGGAGGTTTCTATAGAAATTAAGAATGTAAAAAGGAATTAATAAATATATGTAAAGGTATGGTTGAAGCAAGAATTATGTTTTAATGTTAAAATGTTAGGAAAAAGAATAAGGATAAATATGATTAAATGAAAATGTTAAAAGGAATTTATAAATACATCTAAAGATATGTTTTAAGCAAGAACCATATCTCAATGTTAAAATGTCATGAATGTCATGAAAAAGGACAAAGATAAATATGATTAAGTGAAAATAAGCAATGCATAGATGGATGGAAACAACAAAGAAAGGATTAAGTAGGGATCAATAGTTAAACCAACTATGAATATGCAGTGTTTAACATCTACAAAGTAAAAATAGATATGCTGTGTAACAGTCAGAAAACAAAAATGAATATGCTGTGTTGAACAGCCAAATAAAATGGTTATGCTGTGTAACAGCCAAAACAAAACTGAATTTTATTTATTTATTTATTTATTATTTATTATTAATTAATTAATTAATTAATTAATTAATTAATTAATTATTTTTATTTGTTTGTTTGTTTATTTATTTATTTATTTATTTATTTATTTATTTATTTATTTATTTATTATTTATTTATTAT